TTTTGTGATTTGGCTAAGTTTATTCTGTCTTCTTCACACCAATCAGTTTTACCATATATATCAAGAATGATTTGAATGAGATTCGACTCCTTCTCATTTTTTTGTCTTTTTAGTTTTTTGCTAAAGAAAATAGAGTGTTTCCTTATAGAAAATTTAAGAAATTCCCATTTTTGTACAGCTGTTTGAAGATCATTATCTTTTTTAGTGTCTCTTATAATTTTCTTTATGCCGTCACAATATTCCCTATTTTCTAGTAGACTATGATTCAATTTCCAGTAATCTCTGATATTTTTTTTTCTTCTTGTAAACATGTTATGTTTAAATTAACTACACAGTGATCTGTTAAAGGACTACTTGATATTGTTGAATAACACTTATAGTCTGCTATAGCATTAGATATTAGCCAATAGTCAATTCTTGAGGATGCCTGACCATTAGGTTTTCTCCAAGTGAAAGATCTAGCATATTTATTTTGCTCTCTCCAAATATCCACTAGATTATTCTGGTTCATAAAGTCACTCATTATTTGATTTGGATGATGATAAGAGTATTTTCTTGGCCATCTATCTAACCATTCATCCTGAGTTAGATTAAAATCCCCTCCCATTATGATATGGTCTGTGGCATATTTATTTTTAAATTCTTCAATAATGTTGGAGATTTGAAAGAGAAGACATTTGTTTTTCTGTTCATTATTGTATCCATAAATGTTAATTAACATCACAAGTACCCCGTCTACTTTCGTTATGCATGCAATCCAGTGTCCATCAGAGTCAGCTTTGACTATTAACACATCCCCTTCAAGCTTGTTGAAACATATTGCTGTCCCAGCTGAGCGATTGGACCCGTGACTGAAGAAGATTTTGTCTCCCCACTGTTGAGACCAGAACTTTTCATCAGTTTTGTCCGAATGAGTTTCTTGAAGAAAAAAGAAGTTAGATTTTTGCCCCTTGCAGAATAAAAAGATAGCCTTGCATTTAATTGAGTCTTTGAGTCCCCTTACATTTAAAGAAGAAAAATAAATATTTGTCTTAAGTTGAACCATAAAACACACAACACAACCGAAAAATAAATGGGTTTAAAACCACCCAAAAATTGCTAAGACCACCCAAAAACCGTCATGAAAAACAGCTGTGCGTGCGTGCACTTAGGAGACAAGGATTAAAAATGTAAAAATCAATTAAAAAGATAAATAAGTCATTTCATGTATAAAACTGATGCGTTTTTGAAATTTTGTTTTTACTTAAATATTTTTAAATGTTTTGTAAGCTTTGGAGATATTTCATAAAGTTAATGAACGTGACGTTACGTAATCACTTGACAGTGCGGAGGAGAAAGGCTGAGCGAAAGATGGCAGGTTGCGCACCGACTGACTTGGTGTCCAAAAAGAAAACAACCTCTGCAATTTGGGAATTTTTCAGCTTCAAACCAAATGACAAAGGAGAGCCGGTGAATCCCAACGAGGCAATTTGTAAATTATGCAATAAAACGGTAACCGCGAGAAATGGAAACACCTCAAACCTACGGACACATCTCAGAATCAACCACCCACTCACTGCCGCGAGGACGAATTTGGCTCTGAGTTCAATCAGTGCAACAGTTTCAACACCTCTCACTGACACCGATGCACGACCAGGACCAACAACAAAGTCCACCACCAGTTACTCGCAGCCGACAATAATAGGGGCCTTTGCCAAAACAACAAAATATAAAAGGGACAGTCTCCGTTGGAAAACTTGCACTGATGCTGTGACAACATATTTGGCAAAGGAAATGGTTTCTTTCCACACGGTGGAAAAAAAGTCATTTAAGGACATGGTAACGGTCCTACATGCCCAGTACGAGCTGCCCGGACGGAAACATTTTTCACAAACAGCTATCCCAAGTTTGTATGTTAAAGTCAGAGACGATGTTCAGGCGTTGCTGTCAGGGGCAGATCATTTTTCCTTAACAACTGACATGTGGTCGTCGGTTAATATGACACCATACATGTCTCTGACTGTCCACATAATTACACCTGAGTGGAAACTTGAATCCGAATGCCTCCAAACAACCTATTTTCCAGAGAGTCACACAGCGGGGAATCTTGCTGCTGCGCTCAAAGCTGCACTTCAGGACTGGAAACTCGAAGAGGAAAAACTTTCAGCCATAATAACTGACAACGCTGCAAACATTTCTGCTGCAATCAGGTCCCTGCAGTGGCCGTGGCTTAACTGCTTTGGTCACAATCTAAACTTGGCGATCACAAATGCATTGCATGACCATAAGCAAAAAACTGAGCGTGCCCTCGGATTATGCCGCAGCATTGTGGGGGCATTTTCACACAGCTGGCAACGTAAAACTGAACTCCACAAGAAGCAAGTGGAGTTGGGACTCCCAGAGCATAGTCTCATAACGGTAAGCATACATTTAGTCTATATCTGAATCTGATAACGTTAGATCATGCAACTAACAATATAATTCGTTTATTTATTTAGTTATTAATTTAGTGTGTCATTCGTCCGTCGGCAGGACTGCGCAACTCGCTGGGGCTCCAAACTGGCGATGGTGGAGCGCATCCTCGAGCAGGCCCCAGCCATCAAGCTCGTCCTGTCTGATGACAGAAGAAGCAACCTGTCCCTGCACTGGCAGGATACTGATATCTTGAAAGCTGTGAACGGCGCACTGAAACCTGTTGGTGACTTCACTGACATTTTGTCTGGTGAAAACTATGTGACCAGTTCCTCTATCCTCCCCATACTCCAGCTCTGCAGGGAGAGCGTGTTGGCTATATCAGAAGATGGCCTCCAGCTTACAAAGTCAATAAAAACCACAATTCTAAAAATGCTGGAGGCCAAGTATGAATCTGACTCAGTGCGCAAATTAATGCGAAAATGCACTTTCCTCGATCCTCGTTACCGTGGCAGACATGAGCTTGATGACAACGCACTGGCTGAAATCAAAGCTGAATTACAGGCTGAGATTGTGAGCTTAGAGGGGCAAGCAGCACCAGAAGCAGTGGCCATCCGAACCATAGAGGAACGAGCACAACCTGAACCCCCACGCAGAAAGATGTCTCTGGGGGCTCTCCTGCAAAAACGAGCCGCTGACGCTGCGCCGGAGGGTCCCGTCGGCGCAGAGCAGCGAGCTGGAGCTGAAATAACAGCGTACTGTTTGGAACCTGTTATTCAAGGGGACGAAGACCCTCTTCTCTGGTGGAAATATGCTGGCAGTCGTTTTCCCCAGATGTCACGACTGGCCCGGAGGTATCTATGTATTTGTGCCACCAGCTCACCATCGGAGCGGGTTTTCAGCACCGCAGGTAAAGTTGTTGGTCCACAACGTGCAAACTTGAACCCAGAAAAAGTAAACATGCTGGTTTTTCTGGCGAGAAATCTTAACTAGATTTGCTGCAACATGCCGTAATGTTCACACTCCTGTGTGTGTGTGTGTGTGTGTGTGTGTGTGTGTGTGTGTGTGTGTGTGTGTGTGTGTGTGTGTGTGTGTGTGCGCGCGCGCGCGTGTGTGGCCGTGTGAGGGAGAGTTTTCATTTTTTAAATTTTAATGCAGTTGTTTTGGTTGCAATAATTTTTATAATTTCAATGTTTATGGTTATTCAACTCTTGTTGACTGTTACGGCCTATTTGCACTCATGCTGCTCATTGATAAGTTGTTCACTTGATTTGCGCACAACAGCTGCCCTGGGTTTTTATGTTGATTTATTGCTGTTGGACTGTTGACTCTTTGCACTTGTTTATAAGCTGCGTGTTTTGTGTTAATAAATGTTGTTAATAGTATGTGAGTTACATTGTTTTTTTTTTAGTAATTGTTTGGTATTCGGATTCAGAAAGGTGAAGGTCCACTTGAGGCTTACGTCATACTTTATAAGTATTCACGGTAATACCGTATACCGGGGTAAAATTAAGTGGAAGTTAAACGGTATTCAAATGTGGATACTGCCCAAGCCTACATGGAACACAATAAGCCTCACATCAAAGCGCTGAACCTGGCAGAACGTGGCGCAGCTAACTGAACCAAGACCAGCTACAGGTTAGGCGGCCATGACGCTCCTGCTTTCATCTGATTCCTATTTTGTCTAGTAAAATAAAGAAATGTCAGTGTAATTATTTAGCTCAATGTAAGGAAACTAAAGTGTTTATTACTGTGGCCTCTAGAATGTGCTTACAAGCTCGCAATCGCGAGCAGCGCTGTGTGTTTGATGAAAGACGGTCCACAAGTTGAGTCTGGCGGACAATTCAGCTGTCATCCCACTCTCTCTTTACTTTTTGTTCATAAATGTAATGAGTGTGGGACTTTAGTTGTGTGCCAAAATTATATAAAAGAGCGTTATTTTTTATAGAGTGGGCCAAATGTCCGTGAGCGTGGGGGTGGGGGTTAGGGATCAGTCCCCTAACAAACACTTTTTTTCTTTATTTCTGACAGGGACCTCTACTCTGTCCCAACCTTGGCCACCGCATGTTTCATGAGTCAGGATTTTGGCCGATTGTACAAACATCCTGGGTCGGGACAGCAGCAGCTCAGGAGGTAGAGCGGGTTGTCCAGTAATCAAAGGGTTGTAGGATCGATCAGCAGAGGGTGCTGCTATTGTGTCCTTGTGCAAGACAATGGTGAAAAGAAAATGGTGGTGCCAGTGCTCGGTAGCTTCACCTCCCTCAGTGTGCCCCAGGGCAGATGAGGCTAGATTGTAGCACATCACCACCAATGTGTGCATGGGTGTAATAATGACTGATTTGTGTTGTGAGGCGCCTTGGGTGTGTTCTAAGACTCTAGAAGACACCATATCAAATAAAGGCCTTTAACCATTCTAAATTGCATTCGTAAGATAGAACATAGACCAGTTTCTATGAACTTTGACAAATGAGGGTCCTGGTGTGTGGTCAAGTACAGTGAGAAATGCTACATAAGGCACCAAAACACAGAACTGCTAGACTTTGTGGGGTTTTGTTTGGTTTAGCTTTGTTGAACCTGTTTTATAGTAATGTATCCATGTTCAGACTTACCAGTGCTGCTGGTCCATTTGCTTCCAAGCAAGCTCCATGCTGGTGGCAGTGGGAGGTGGTGGAGGGCCAGAGCCAGGTTTTCATCCAGCCGCTCACATTCCTGCAGAGGAATCTTACACTCATCGAGCAGCAGAGCGCCATCAAGACTGTCAGGCCGACCTGCTGTGCTCACCTGTGCAGAAGGTGATTAAACCAAATGAGTCGGGTTTAGAGAATGGTCAGGTTTACAGAGACAAGTCGGGGTCAGGTTTACAGCGACAACTTCAGTTTACAGGGATGAGTCTCATTCACAGAGATGAGTCTGGTTTACGAGTTGGGTTAACAGGGGTGAGTCAGGTTTACAGAGACAAGTCAGGTTAACAGAAAAAAGTCAGGTTTACGAGATAAGTCTGTTTTTCTTTCTCTTTTTTTACCGTGTCCTGTCTGGCTGTGAAGCAAACAGAATTGATGTCTGAATGCTGGTAACAAGCCTTACAGATTTACTCTCAGGTGGAGCATCAAAGCGTCTGCTTTTAATGTCACGCCTAATACTTAAAACTTTATTGTTATTGTTTTTGAATGCTTTGTAATTCCGACCAGACACGGAGTCAGAGGTGAAAGAGAAAAGAAAAGACAAAAGGTGGGGAGATAGGGGGGAAGGGGGGAGGGGGTTCACAAAAATAAACAACAATTAACAAGAGTCTGCTTCTAGACCTGCGTCAAGAGAAAGAATAGAAAAAAATGGGACACGCAACAATACATCAGGAGCAAGCTATCACTGCGTCAACCTGATGATGAATTATAAAATCAACATTGTTTAACTGAACAATCACACGATAATAAATCATAGTGCATTAAGTGCCCACCATAGCCTTAAGACGTGTTAAACGTGCCCAAAACCATACTTTTGAGAGCACCATGTGAGCACCTGTGTGTTTACACGTGCTTGTTTATGTAAGGTTTCTCTATAGGAGCATCCAATAGAGTGTGAGGGACCACAGATGCACCCCCCCAAAGATGTGTAGGAGACGGGGGGAGCTCCAAGTCCTAGAGATCCAGGCGCTGCCCCAGAACACAGGAACCCCAAGGAGACTGCATCCAGAAAGGCCCCCGCGCCCCTCGAGAGGCACAGAGGATCACCCCAGGGGACCACAACCAGCAACCGGCAGAGTCCCGGGCAATATCAGCAGCAATCCCACAGGCCCGCCCGCAGCCTCCCACCCCCTAGCCGGCCAAGCCCGGGACCCAGGGGCGACCACCCCCCGCCGGGGACCCAGCAGAGCCCAGGGACCCAGACCCCACCAGGCAGCCACCGGGATTGATCAGGCAGACGCCAAAAATCTTAAACCCCCTGACCCGGGAGCCACAAACATTCAGGCAGACCAAGGCACCGCACCCCACACCAGGTGTGGCAGGGGGAGGGGAGACGAAGATCTATATCATCAAAAGAAGTCCCAGGAGAAGAGAGGAGTCAAAGGCCCCACCTGACATATACAGTCATACACAAACACAGTCACACACACTCCCTCCCTCATGCTCACACATGCACATACAACCAAAGACTTACAAAAATGCACGCCGGACACCCACTCATGCTCCCCATACACACCCTATTCACTCTGGTCCCGGTACTGCTGCACATGGGGTACGACCATCACCGGTTACCAGAGTTTGACCCTTTCTGCTGGGGTGCTGATGAGCAGGCTCCCTCGCCCAACGCTGAGCACCGAAACCCACCACCCCAGACCCCAACCAGACGGCCAGATGTCCCTCCAAGCCTCCAGCCCCAGGAAGCCAAGCAACAACAGAGGTGTGCTAAGACCCCTAGTGTCCCTCCGCCTGCTCCAATATAGTTTTGTGTGTTGATGAGGAGTATTCCATGGCTGTGGTGAGTGGGCAGTGCGGGCATTGTCTGGTCTATACCAGCTGATGCCACCGCACCACCCCACTTGAACCCACAGTCCTCGGTTTCTAAGTGCAGTTTAAAATTGGAAGTGGGCCCCGGCACTCGGGAGGAGGCTGAGAAATCCCCCTGCCAAGTGCCGTTGAATGTGCTCACTCCCAAGATCCTAAGTGTGTGTTTGCATGGTATGTCTTCGGTGGAAGTGTATAAGGTGCAAATAAAATTGAGGGGCAGGTTGCCACAGGAATGCGGAAATGAGGGCGAGCAGCTGCGTCCCAAAAAGTATCAGAACCGCTTACGGCGCATGCGCAATCCTGCATCAACACCGCTCCCAGCTATTTCCTTAATAACACATGTTGTTCGTTTTAATTTCTACACATTTTTTACTCATAAAGATTGTCAAGAAAGCGTGTTTGTCGTGTTCATGTCAAATTAAACTGATCACAAAACACAGATTTACTTTCTTTATTTCGTTTTCCTCATCCAACCCCCATAAATGCCTGTGTGTGTCCTCCTGCAGCACTCCCGAAGGACAAAAGGCAAGACAAGACAAAAAAGTCTGACATGTTGAGTAAAAACTGCTATTTTTAGCACATTTTTAGGGCCGACGTGTTGCTACCAGATGTACAGTGTGAGCAGTCAGGTCACATCCGAGAACTGGGTCGTGCAGCGTGAGCGCATGACTCGTGAGATCTGCCCTGCGAGGAAGTCGTACAGTGTGAGCTGAAGCTGAGTGCTACGAGTGAAAAAGTCGCACAGTGTACGCCCGGCTTAAGACATAGGAAATCCAGGTAAGGTTGGGTCCCCAGCAACCCCCCCCCCCCCCCCCCCCCCCCCGGACATCCCCCTCCCATGTGGTGGGACAGCAGAGGAGCCATGGTCTACCCGAGGCCCCTGAACCCGGGCCAGGCACTGCTGCATGTGCCTGCCTTCTTCCCAGCAGCATACATGTCAGGACCCCACCCCCAAGGCCCCGCTCAGATCCCCACACGGGGCCGGCCACCCCCACACCCCGAGCCCCCAGGCCCCCACCCAGACCCGCCCAGGGGCAATGGAGCTGCCAGGCAGTGACCCATGGCCGCCGCCAAGACCTCCAAGGGGCCCCATTCACAACCACCAGTAGTCCACCCCCCAAGGCAACCCAAGCACCTCCAGAGGGGGGGCAACGGCCCCCCAGTCCCAGACACCCCCCAGTGAACCCACCTCCAGGGAACATCCGGATACTCCAAACTCAGACCCTCCACCCCACCCCCCACTCACATCATCCCGCAGGACAAAATCAATGGTCACCCATCATCGCCATATGATGGAACCGATCAAAGGAGCCCAGAGAGATTGATTTGAAGTGGAAGCAGAGGCTAAATCAAGTGTAATATGATCTAACAAAAGATTTCTATACTGGTGTAGCGTTATGAATCTTATAATGGTCTGACCTTAACAGCTGCCCCTTCACACAGTAACATCACCAAGGTCGGACGCTTGGTTCAGTATGTTTACATTCCAGGAGAAGAGACAGAAGAAGAGAAGAAGAACGCTTTACATTGATTAATCAAAGTACTTTATTTGTGATAAGCTAATCAAAGCATATGTTGATCATTAATAATCAGGTGAATGATCTGTGAAATAAAGATGTCATGAGTTATGTGTTGAATGAATAAACAGGACTGCACCAGACAGACTGATATACATTACCATGGAAACGCATGACACATTGTTTTCAACCAATCAGAACTTTCGTCTGTCGTAGAGAGAATCTGGGATGTTTACTTAATGTGTCCAATCCGGTTTACTAAGATTGGTAAACAATTAGGAGATATACAAGAAGGCAACGTCATTTTATATTCAGTTCCACGTTAACTGGTTCCACGTTAACATCAGCTCTGTTCGAGCCGAGCTCCAAAGGAGTTACATCATACTCTCAACATTGTTTTCAACCAGCTCTCAATCCATCACCGCCAAAAGAGAAGTACAGGCTGGCCAGCTGTACTTTCTATTTTAAGCTGAGAACTGTCAAGCTGGAGATTTCCATCGTTTGAATCAACGAGACGACGTCCCTTCAAAATAAGAGTGAACTTGCCGACGCCTGCCGACTACTACCGGAGCTGACCCACAGACGGGCGTTGTAGTGCTGCGACCGCTGTTTCACCAGCTCCAGTACATTCGAGGTCCTAGGACCTGGCATTTCCTGATCTACACGGGAGACTCCATATACGGTACGTGGTCACGGCACAAAATGGCGGCTCATGTCATCAGCTTCTGAAGCCTCGTGGTAGCCTAGTCAAAACAACCAGATTCGCTACTTCAGCCTAGAGATTCTGAACAAAACACACACACACACACACACACACACACACACACACACACACACACACACACGAAACATCCAAATCCATATGCATTCATCATTGAGATAGTCCTGGTAGATTGTAAGAATTTATAATTATAGAAATTAAAGATTCTTAAACGATCCCAACTCTCTCTTTTCTTGTCTCTTAGTCAATACAGAGTGTCTGAGTAAACTCCCTGATGATAAAAACGACCACTTCTGATTAATTACTTAGATCTAATTACAGTGTATAAATATACAAAATCAGATAATTACATTATCTAATTACAGTGTATAAATATACAACTTCAGATCATTACACTGGTTAATGCAGAGAGTTTCTCTATTTTTCCAATTCAAGAGGATAGTTTTCTTAGCGATGCATATGACAGTCAGAACCACGTGAACTAAAGATGTTTCAATCGGGACATCGTCCAGATTTCCCAGTAAACAAAGAGAGGGGGAAGTTGGGATATGACATTTCAGACATTTTGACTGATCCTCACATACTCTACGCCAAAATCCCTGGACAGGTGGACAGGACCACAGTGCACATGTAATTGTCAGGAATGTTGTTTTTGCAGTGTGTACAGGTGTCAGATGATACAAACCCCATCTTGAACATCCGATGACCTGTATAGTGTACTCTGTGTAGAATTTTGTACTGAATTCATTGTAAATTGGGGTGCCTGATCATTTTAAAAGTTTTTAAACAAGTTTGGGACCAGAAGTTCTGGTCAAAGCTGACTGATAGATCCACCTCCCATTTTTCAATAGGGATTGCAATTTTATCATCTATTTTGGACAGTGTCTTATATACTTTAGACAGTATTTTGGGGGGGGTTGAGATTATAAAAGTCTAATACCCTTGGTGGTGTTTGTAATTCTACTTTATTGAGCTTAAATTTTTGTTTGACTACATATTTAGTTTGGTGATATTCTAAAAAACTATTCTTATCCATTCCAAATTGGGAGACTATTTGATTAAATGGGATGAAGTCCAATCCTTCATATATGTGTTCCAGGTATAGGATTCCTTTATTGTTCCAGTCCGGAAGGTTCATCATTTGGTTATTTTGCAAAATGTCAGGATTATTCCAGATAGGTGTGCATCTGCATGGTACTAGTGAAGACTGTCATTTTTAGATACTCCCACCATGCTGTCAGAGAGGTGCTGATACTAATACTTTTGAAGCCTTCATGTTTTCTTATGCTTGAGCTAATAAATGGTAAGTCTGAAAGCTCTATCATATTGCAAAGTGTCTGTTCTATGTCTAACCAACCAAGACTCACCTAGTGGGTTATCTTGCAAACATCTTGGTATATATTGCAGCCTGTTGGCTAAGAAATAATAATAAAAGTTGGGTAAATCCAGTCCTCCTCTGTCTTTGGTCTTCTGAAGCGTTTTTAAGCTAATTTGTGGAGGTTTATCTTGCCAAAGGAATTTGGTAATTGAGGAGTCCAGAGATTTAAACCAGTCAGCTGGAGGTTTGTTTGGGATCATCGAGAATAAGTTATTTATTCTGGGTAAGACCATCATTTTAATTGAAGCAACCCTCCCCATGAGTGATATCAGTAAGGATTTCCATCTTGCAAGATCATCTTCCACTTTCTTTAAAATTGGGATGTAGTTTAGTTTGGTTAGATCTGCCAACGTGGGAGAGACATTAATTCCCAGGTATGTGATATTCCCTGACTCCAATTGTGTATTAAGCAAATTGAAAAAAGAGAAATTAATTGGTAGAACTGTGGATTTTCGCCAGTTTATAGAGTAATCTGAAACTCCTGAAAAAGAGTATCAGTTCTATTGAATGGGAGAGAGAGGATTGAGAATTCTGGAGAAAGAGTAAAACATCATCTGCATAAAGACTGATCTTATGTTCTATTTTCTTAAACTTTATCCCTTTAATATTTGTTGTTTGCCTAATTGCTGCCGCTAGTGGTTCGATAAAAATAGCAAACATTGACGGGTAGAGTGGGCATCCCTGCCTGGTCCCCCTCTGAAGACACACGTGCTGTTGGTGAACTGTATAATGTTTGTAGCCAGTTTATGAAGAAGTTCCCAAAACCAAATTCATGTAAAGTTGCAAATAAGAACTTCCAGTTAACTCTATCAAAAGCCTTTTCTGCATCTAGAGATAATATACTAGTTTCTATATTTCTACTGTAAGAGAAATCTATCAAATTAAGTAATCTACGCGAGTTTGTGGATGACTGTCTACCCTTAATGAAACCAGTTTGGTCAGGGTGTATTATGAAGGGGGTTACCTTCTCTAATCTTTTTGCCAGGGCTTTACAAATTATTTTGAGATCAAAATTAATAAGAGAAATTGGGCGATAGCTGGTTGGAAATGCTGGGTCTTTGTCTGGTTTTAACAAGAGACTAATATTGGCTGAATTCATGTTTGGCTGTAATCTGCCGCTCTCTTCGATTTCCCTCACCATTCTGAAAAATGTTGGAGCCAGAATGATCCAGAATTCTTTGTAGAACTCTGCTGGAAACCCGTCTGGACCTGGAGCTTTATAGTCATGGATTTAAGGGCTTCCTGGAGCTCAGCTGATGTTAGTGGCGAGTCCAGGACTGTAGCTTGGCTGTCTGATAATTTAGGAAGTATTATCCCGTCAAGGAACTCATTGATCTCGTTAGCTGATGGGATTATCTGTGGTGAGTACAAAGTTTGGTAAAAGTCTCTGAAGGTGTTGGTTATGCTTTCAGGGCCATAAACTATATTCCCGGTTGAGTCTTTAACAGCAGATATGGTAGTTTTCTCTTCATTAATTTTTAACTGGCTAGCTAAAAATTTAACTATATTAGTGGATTGCCAACTGCGCTGCGTCCCAGCTGTACTGAGCCTGTCTGTTAAAGAATTAATCCAAAAATTAAAATCACCTCCAAGTATAAGTGGACAGTCCAAGTGTTCGAAGAGTACAGAGAAAAAATTATGAAACAATGAAGGGTCATCAATATTTGGACAGTATATGCTGACAATACATAAGCTTTGGTTCTGTACAGATATTTTTAACATTATAAATCTACCCTCTGGATCAGAGACTGTGTCCAATACTGTGAAATTGATGTTTTTGTGTATTAAAATAGCTACACCTCTTTGCCTAGAGTTATAGCAGGCAGAGAACATGCTGGGAAACTCAAGTGTTTTAAGTTCATCTGCAGATGTGGCAGATCTATGAGTCTCTTGTAATAATATTACGTCTGCTTGCACTCTCTTTAGCTGATCAAAAATCTTTAATCTTTTCTCTCTGGAGCCAGCTCCATGTACGTTCCATGAGACAAACCTTAGTGCACCCATAGATGTGTGTGAGTAGCTAAAATATGACGCCTTCATGTGAATAAGATGAAATAAGTAACTAAATGTATAAAATAGTATGTTAATAAATAACAGAAAAGTAAATAATAATAATAATAAAGATCCAACAGTGTTTGTGGTTGTATTATTTGATGCATAAATTATGATATTGTGCTGTGGATTTAATATATATATATTTGTGTGTGCGTGTGTGCGTGCGTGCACGTGCGCGTGTGTGTTTACGTGTGTGCGGAGTCTGACGCAGTGTTGGAAAGTTGTGTGGTTGTGCCATACAGGTGTAAAGGTACAGAAGCAGGTAAAGAGGAAAGGAAAATACAGATACAGGTTAAAAAAGAAGAAAGAACTAAAAAGAAAAGATGATAGGGGTGTGAGGTGGTGATGAACAGGTGATCTCATCATCTAGAAAATGGATTTAGCAGCTGTTTAATCCTGACGTGATCAAACCCAGTGAATCCTGATAAGAATAATAAATGTCTGACCTGATGTTGGGCTAATACAGCCAGTCAGTCACTCGTCGCTCCTTGTAAAGTTTATTGTCCACGTAAAGCTTATCTACCAAGATGACCGCCCTCAGAGCTGAGCATGCGCTGACGGCCGATCACCAGATACACGGCAGCATTTGAAGCTGATGGCAGCTCGTTAGCAAACATCCACAAACAATTAAGATACATTTTTGCCTAATTTATCTACTGACAATGCAAAAAGTAATCTGGTAAGTATAACTCACTCAATCTGGAGGTAAGTGAAAAAAATTTAGAAAGTTTACTAAATTATATTGACGAAGTTTTTGGGTTAGTCGTTATGGGTCTGAAGAAATCAGCAGCTGAGCCTGAAACACCTGGGACCAAGAGGAGCCGTCCTCAGGACTCGCCTGAAGCCTCATCTCCCCGTAAGGACATATTAGAGTTATTAGATTCTATAAATGAATGGCTTCTGGGATTTGAGGGGCGTCTTCATCTGCTCGAGGTTCTACACCAGGAGTTTCAGAACCTCCGAACATCTCTGGAGTTCAGCCAAGAGCAGGTTGAGCGGCTCGCTGCTGAGAACGCGTCTCTGCGGGAGTCCGTTTCTTCCCTGGAAGAGGGAATGACACGGATCACCCAAGACAACAAGACTCTGAAGGAGACTGTTGTGGACCTTCAGGCCCATAGCATGAGGGATAATTTGGTGTTCGCAGGCCTGCCAGAGCAGGCGGGAGGGGCGGAAAACTGCGAGCAAACAATCAAGAACTTTCTCCAGACCGAAATGAAGATACCCGAAGAAACGGTAAAAAACATCACCTTTCACCGGGTACATTGTCTTGGAGCTAAAAGAGGAGACAGCAGAAGACCTCGTCCCATCGTGGCTAAATTTGAACATTTTAAGCAGAAGGATCTTGTTAAAAGTCACAGAAGAGAGCTCAAAGGAAAAGACTTCAGCGTAAATGACCGAGTCCTCTTTCCGCTGCGTAAAAAGTTTATCCAGGATGGGATAAGAGTCATTTTTACAAAACAATGCAGTCAATTTGCCGTGGCGGCATCAGGGAGCCTTAGGTCATTTAGAAATAGTCAGACTGTGGCAGTGATGTGGCAGAATCGTGTCCTTTTTATAAAAGATTAGTCGCTGGCGGCATAAAAGGGGTATGGGGGCTGTCCCTGCACTGCCACGGACTCCCGTTTATCTTGGACACAACTTGCTTTTTACTGCGATCAAAGCTGCAATTGTTACGTTTATTTAACAAGCTGCTCCTAAAGGTGTCTGTCCTCTACAGTCCCCGTGCAGTCTCTGGTGATCTGAGCTCCAGCTATAACAGAGAGAAGCTCCAGGAGTGCTGCATCCAGTTTCCCATCTCAGCTGATTTTGTCCAAAAAGCTACAGGTCCATGCTTACTTTCATTTCCAATATAGTTGCCGGCCAGAGCTCAGAAGTAACTCCCCACGTAATCATGACCCCTCCCTCTGTTGCACCAAGGCGCAATCGCCGTTTACATGGCAGACAATTACCGCATTATTACTACCAAGCGAGGCGGAACGAACTCCATAAAATCCGTGCAACGCCATGCCGGCATGGCACGTTCATAAAACACATCGTTGCGGTAATATTACACTGATTTGCCGGCACGTTGTGTCTTTTAAAAAGGGCTAAGTTGAGTTTACAGAGACACGTCAGGTTTACAGAGAAAAGCTCAGTTTACACAGATGAGTCCACTTTACAGGGATGAGTCGGGTTTACAGAGACAAGTTGGGTGTACATAAATGAAGCAAAGAGATAAGTCTGACTGATGAATGGACTTGATTTAAAACAGGAATAAATAAGAGATCAGATGGAAGCTGCAGACTTGATGACATGAAATAAAGTCCTTTATAAAATAGTCATTACAAATCAAAACATGAAAATATAATCATTTAAATTTTATGAGATGATAAACTTTTGTTTTTCTGCTCTCTCTCTCTCTTTTACAGGAACAAAAACACCTTTTCTAGTTGCTCACCAGAAACTGGGCCATGTCAAATGCCAGATCCTGGACAAAGCTGAATCGATGCTTGGCCAATGGAGCCACATGACCAGGATGGTCCTCCGAGGCCTCAGAGGTATTTTGGGTGGCTAAGCACAAGGTGACCAACACCACCTCGCAGCAGTCATGAGCTACAAGACAACACAAAGAAAGAAAAGAAGGAGGGGTGAGAGAGGACAGGCCTGCTGAGGAATAAACTGTTGGTTAGGACATCTAATCAATAAAATTTAGCCAAGAACATTCTACACTGCACAGAAAAGATGTTCAGCTGTACAACAAGGAAAAAATAGAATGTGAAGGTATTCACAGATCCTAAACATCACGTCATTGTTTATCAGATTGAAAGTGCAAACTCATTTTCATAATTTATTAATCAAAAAGGAACAATTACAGCTGCACGTTCGTTAGGGTGTGTCTGTAGGCTCAGAGCTTGTTGCATCAGATGATATATGGCTCCTGAGGACAATTAGCAGATTCACATGGAAAAGGCTTCACGGCAAAGTGAATACATACATGCTCTACTCTTTATTATTTATATCTATAAATGTTATTTATATTTCATGTGGACTATAAAGACCTAATACAATTTAAGATTATTCACAGAGTCAATAAAAGAGCTTAAAATTTTATTTTGTAAAAACAATCCAATACCATTAAATTACCACCATCAATATAATCTGCTCATTTTTATTTAAAGCCACAATCTAGAATGTTCCCCTTTTCAGAAATTACATATGATTTTTATCTTACATCCATAAAAGTGGTAGACGTACTCTTTTCTGTGATGTATTGTAGGCAATACATCAAATCTTTGATAAGCCCGTCCCCGGCCAGTAGAGCCCCATGTAATTTGAATGATGTGCCGTTCAGCATTAGCCAATAGAGCTTAGGTACAGATGTCCATCACAGAGTCTCTACCTATGGCTCCCTGTGAGGGAAAACTCCCAGATTTCTCCTTTTCACCTAAACATAAGCCTTCATGTGTTTTCTGGGAAAAGTTGCTGCAGTTTTTGCATGTATGAAGTATTTTATACCCAGAAAAGCATTTTCTAGACCCCAGTTCACACACACACACACACACACACACACACACACACACACACACACACACTAAACTTATGTAAATTTCCCATCCACCCTGACAATGGTTTCAGCCGTCTAATAAAGAAGCTGCTGGAGGAAAACCCAACAAGAATGTTGTGATTTTGATTATTTAAACAAATCACAACGAATCAGTTTCAGGAGCAGAACTACTTTGTGGGAAAGCTGAATGTCTGTGCTGCTGCCCAGATGCATCATGGGCCTTGTGGTCTGGTCACAGCGCGAGTACACCTGAAATCCACAGAGAGAACTACAACACAGAATGAATAAATGCCTCCAGCATTAAAAAATAACAAGTCTATAGAAGGAGTGGGCGTAATAAATAAACGCTTCCATATAGGACTTTACATAATTTATCACCATGTCCACAGACTGTGGGAGGGAACTTGACATACCACAGAACCATCTCATTCACCTCATTGTTGAATAAATACTCATTAATCAGCGCTCTCAGCTGTGAAAACCAGACTTTATGGTGATCTGTGACAGCAGGGTGCAGAACTGTGCTGCTGATTTAAACCCAGATTCAATCTAATAAATCAGGAACTTTTAACTACACAGCACTATAATCTGGCCCAGCCACAAGTAAAGCCTGCTCCAGACTCAAGTTAACAACAACAAAGGCTGAAAAAAAAGAAACCACTGGATTCTGGTTTACTGCACCATACGTCCTCTCACTTAGAAATATTACACTTGATTTACTGTGTGAAAAAAACAACCAGGCCAACCAAGCAGATGTTAATGCCTTGCTCAAGAGGGTTTCAAAAGTAACAGCTAACTGAGTCTGCAGCATTAGATCCACGTGGTCTGGGGAATGTCCCTGTGGTCAGTGAAAAGCCTGGTCCTTAGGATCAGCCAAGCAGAGCTAAGCTGTAATAATAGAGTAGCACCTCCTCTCAACCCCCAGCAGACGGCTGGAAATCTGCTGAGCTCTTAATCAGATAACTCAGGGTATCGTGTCCGGCCTTCACTTTCTACCCGTCGAGAAGAAGCACTCCGGTTGAACTGCATCTGGTTTATCTGCCTCTGAAGGCTGTTCTGTGTTTTCTACAGAATCTCATAAGCATCCAGTAAAGCTACAGACCAACAGGGCCATAAAGCTTTTCCCACGTTTTAATGCTTTAGCAGACCCACGGACTCTGACTGGGATGATGATGATGATGATGATGATGATGATGATGATGATGATGATGATGATGACGTGCCGCAGTAGAGGAAGGAAAAGAACTTGTTTGTTGTGACTTTAGCTGATCAAAGTCATCCTGGTCTGTGTAAAGACCAGGATGTAACAACATTGTCCTACAGCATGTTGGGTAAGAGAGGCGTGATTCAGAAAACGCCAAAGGCCAAACCCTAGGGTCAGGGTTCGACAGACGTTTAGAGCGTTTCCCTGTCTGTAAATCCACCACCGCTAAGAGCTAAATCACACTAACAATGTTCCACGCAGACGTTTTTACTTTCAAGGAATCACAGTTCTAAACTAGTCTGACGTTTTTCTATTTGCATTATGTTATTTGTAGATCTTTGACATTAAGCAGGACCTGAAAAAAAACATTCAGTAATTATTTCTTAAACTACTTCTCTTTTTGTCAATATTTTATCTTTTGTCCAATTTTCAAACCAACTTCTGATCCAAAAAGCATCCTGATTAAAAGAAGTAGAACAAATCTGCTGATAAATGTCAGAAAGATCCGTTTAGATTCAGCAACCTCTTAAAAACAGGCCAGGCTATCGTGGATGACAACATTTCCTTTGTTCATTTCCTGTTCCACTTCGTCCTCAGTGGAGATGTGGCAAGCCGGTGCCCAACATCACCAGTCTTGTGGCTAGAGGCGGGGAACACCCCAGACATGTCTCCAGTCCATCACAGAGACAAACAAACACCCACTCACACCTGGGGGCAATTTAGAGACAGCAGTGATCCTGACAAGCAAGATTTAGGTCTGTGGAAAAAAACCAGAGAACCTGCAACCTTGGTGCTGTGAGTCAACGGGAACAGAATGCTGTAAACCCAACATTTCCTGATCTAAACATCAAGTAAGAGTGTTTGTACCAGGTGTATTATACCTGATATACTTGATAAATATTGATTTGACTGACAGTTGCACCTGTCCCAGTAGAAAAAGAACAAACCAGTGCCTCCTGTGCTGCGTGACCTTTGACCAGTCATCTCAGTGTTGCCTGCTGCTGCTCATTCATTAACCTCCTGACAAACATAAGCAACATTTTAATTTTAAACCAGAACTCTGTCTATAAGCTCCACGTGGGGCAAGAGGAGCATTTTGATATTCAGAAATGTAAAAAGTCTGCAAACACAGCATACAGCAGAGCTAAAGGAATAAATAGAAACTAACATCCTTTAGCTATCGCTCTTTCAACTCTAGCTTATGTTTGTGTTTTTAGCAGCCCATAATGTGGCTCACAGCAACATATGCTCCGGGTTAATGTTGAAAGTGTTGAGCATGCACTTGGTGGTGCAGCAGTCACCCAAGTTTTCACTGAGAAAATTAAACACTTTACAAGATCTCAGTTTCTTGTATCACTGTAGGCAGGGCTGACTTTCCATTTAAAGTGGTAGGGAGCTGCAAGGTATTGTGGGTAGGGAGGCTCACCAGGACATAGCGCCTGTAAGGTATCATGACTGCTTCGTAGGGTGCTGGTCACATGTCTCTGTGTGCTGCCAGCAAACAGCAGGAAGTAGTCCACGCCCTCTCCATCTGCAGCTAGCTCGTCATCAGAGAGCTGCACTGTGACAAGACAACGGCCCTGCAGAGACAAGGTACAACACGTTATAAACACGCTAAACACATGTTAAAACCATCGCTTCAGATTTTAAAAAAGATGATACTAAACCAAAAGGAGCATAAACAACAACAAAAGCATCAAAACAGTGGGGCAGCGTTGTATGAGTCCAGTCGTAGGTTAGCTGCACTGGCTCCAAGTCACTTTATAATAGCGTTGAAGGTCTTCCCACCAACAAATCAGGCTTGTGATGGTCTCTAGTTACCACGCTAACTCCCTCCACAAATATAAACCTTCCAGAATACAGAGCTCATCTAGTGGAAGTGATTTTATAAGAACATAAATCCACATGTAGATTTTCTGAGGACGTAAACAAATCGACTCTATCATCAAAGGACAAGTACAGGTTGGATTGTGTGAGGCCTTTGAATATGTCGTCATCATCACAACAGCCTCAAATCAAACATATTATTCCTCTATTGACGAATGCTGCACATTACAGCGTTAGGAACTAAAGCTGACAGCAGACATGTGGGTCCAACTGGAAGGTCTGCAGCAGCCCGGTTCCAGCTTCATGTGACATTCCTTTGGGCAACACTGAAAAACATTTACTGCTGTGCTCAGTAGAGTACAAAAGAAGAATAACAATAACATCCAGTGTGGATTTAAAAACTAACAGTTAACACCATGTGACTTGGTGCGTTACAGAGTTACTGTAGAGTCATTTCTGACATAACAAAGAGCCCTGTTCTGGCTGAGGAATGGTGTGGTGCCATCTGGGGACAAACCACAGAGAGGGAGGAGCAACATGAAATACTGACATTGTTCAAATGAGCTGTTTTCCAGTGGCTGTTGAGACCTAGGACAAATAACAGGACGTTTGACTTTACTTAACTTGGACCAGCCTGGCCCGACGTGAGCAGCCTGACATGGCAGGCTGAGCTTTACTGGGTTAAAGGTGCTTCCTCCTCTCACAAAGTGGTAGCCTCAGGGCCTTGGTTCTTACAGAGAGAACAGTTTGCAGACAGCAGCGGGGCTAACCAGTAGCCTTGGGAATGGTAGGCCTCTATTTGGCAGGCCAGTTGTGCTGCTGAAAAATTTGAAAGCAAGGAAAATGTGTTCAAAGTTGACCCAGAGGCCACAGACTGAGACCTTCTTGAGAACCAGAGCCGAACACACTGACTTGCAGCATGGAGGTGCACGATTAGTGATGCTTAGTGTGTCAGCTCTAACAAGCAGAGCGGAGGCGCTGAAGTAAATGAGTTGTGGACAAGTGGAAGCCAACAGGCACGACATTCTCTCCATTTTAAACTCATCTCTTATCCTCGGCTTCAACTGGAATGAAGGCTTGCTACTGCAGAATGGATTCCGTCGATGCTCCAACGGAACATAAAAATGTGTGTTGTGTGAAATAAGCTCCACTATTTTTAGACTGAACAAAGAAAAACTAAGACAAAAGTTTTTCATACAAGAAAAAAAACACCTCAAACAGAAGTTTCATGTTATGAACTCAACAGCCACTCTGCTAGTACCGGACAAGACCCCCTTTTCCCTTCAAAGGCGCCTTAAGGCTGAGGTGTTTAAACTATGATCAGCTGTCTCAACAGCTGCTGTTGTCTATCATCTAAAATCAGTCTAACCTCTGACCTCAACAAGACATTTTAATTCACAAGAGATATTTTATCTTTTAAACACCGTAAACCCTAGAGATGGTTGCGGGTGAAAATTCCTGTAGATTAGCAGTTTCTAAACCACTCGGACCAGCCCGTCTGGTACCAACAAAATCCTCTTTCATCTACATTCCGATGCTAAACTTCATCAGTTCATCTCCGTCACATCTAGATGCCTAAATACGCCGAGGTGCTGCCGTGTGCCAGGATGATCAGGTGTTTGTGTTAAGCTGCTGAACAGATAGATCTAAGATAGAGGACCATTAACTCTGATGTCTGTAAGCAGTTTATCTACAATAACAATAACCCAAAATAAATAACACACAAAAATGGTGAAAAACAGATTAATGTCATTTTTCTGATAGCATTTTACCCAGACAACCATCCTGTCTGATTTTAACCTCATTAATCAGATGGGGGGACAACAACAGAATAGGACTGTTGTGAGTCCTTCTGAAGCCACATGTGCTGGCAGCAATGAGCGTGGAGATGGAGAAACAGATCTGAAACATCTGCTGAGGATGATGGGAAACACAAACATGCATTCATGCACATACACACACAGGCGCATAAGCACTCACTCACACACATGCATGCACATTCACACAGAGATGCGCACACACACACACACACACACAGAACTGAACATTAACACATTTTACCAAAAATGACTCATTTGTCCAGCTTAAATGAAATAGAAACCTCAGTTTTAAATCTGCCTGTGTGTGTGCGCGCGTGTGTGTGTGTGTGAAAACGGCTGCCTGCATGAGCGTGCTCTCTGCTTGTTTTAGGTGCTTAGCAAAGTGACACGCTGAGGTATTGACCTGTTAATCATGGAGCTTCAGAAAGGAACAGGCAGGTCTTTGGTAACATAGAAAGCACAGCTGGAGGTCATGAACCCAACACCCCCCTCTTTCTGAGTATGAATCCGACTTGAACCCTTTCTAGACATCTACAGATTTGTTTTAGTTTTGCTTGTTTTGTCACACTTTGATATTTCAGACAGACCTGTAAAATGCTGCTTACAAATGATTTCATGACAGACGTTAGGTTATGCATATAACCACTGTTCCCTGAAGGAGAGGAACGAGGTACAACGAAGGCACTATGGAACATCATGCCCTCGTGTGGGCTAGCTGAAGACACATTTAATCACACCTGTAAAGGCTAATGAGCTGTGTGGAGGCCCCACCCTCCACTTATAAGCGACAGCATCACCACCATTCCCCAGTTCAATAACCACTCTTCACAGAGCTGGGCTGTGAAATGGGGAAGCCCTGTGTTGTACCTTGTTCCTCTCCTTCAAAGAACAGTGGTTATATGCATAACCTAACATTCCCTTTCAGTTGATTCACTCAGTACAATGAAGGTACTATTGGACTTATAAAAACACCCAATGAGCAGGTATCAAACCTGGGCCGAGATTGCAATCTAAGCCCTTTTCAGATAGACATTCTGGAATATGTGTAGACAATTCAATCCGGTTTTTAACCGGAACTGTGTTTTCAGACACACCACTTTTGTAACGGAACTTGTCCTTTCTGCTGCCTTCACACAGCAGGGAAAAGTTCCAGATGTCGGGAGGTGGGAGAAATAGTGTGGCAGGCGTACATGTGTCATTTACTCAAACAAAGCCATTCTGTCAAACATGACAGACGAAGAGGTAGAATTCCTCTCACTGATCAGACTTATGTTAAGCATAATTCTGCGCACACAAGAGACCAGGATGATGAAGTTCAATGGTTAAAGGAATCACTGAAGCGGTGTGAAGCGCTCCATCGTGCGGAGACGGTACCGTAGGAGGCGAGCTGCCATGGTTCGCCACATGCTACAGCAGCAGGCTATCTAGCTGCGCACAGCGTACCCCGGTCCCCTCCGCCTCCCCATCCTCCCTGTCCGGAACTCGACCTCACCAGTCTGAAGCAGCCACCTTGTCCACAAAAAGGTCTTACGGACCGAGTCCGGAACATTTCCGTTTTTCATGGCCTGTTTGAAGGGGGCTAAGACAGCACGTCAGACCCAGCAGAAAGAACTGTAACATCCAAATGGTAAAACCTCACAAAAGTGTGGGGTGTAGCCCAAGTTGCAGTGGAGCAAATGTCACCAACTGAAATGCATTTAAACTGCGCCCAAGAAGCTAGTGAAGGTTCTCAGTTATCCAGATCATGGTAATCCAAAAGCGAAACGTCTTCAAGACACCAAAGAAGTCCAGTTGCCTTCATTTGAACCCTTTTGGAGCGCCCAAGAAGCAGGCACATCTCTAGTAAGTGTGTGCCCTGACCCCTAGGGGCAGCTGGGATCCAGTGACACTGTGTGGGGGGCTACCAGGAGGAATCAGTGCTCTGAGATCATCTAGGCACATGTAGGTCTGCAACATAGTGACAGAGCTGAGGGCAGAAGTAGCCTGGGCCCGGTATAATTTCACCAGCTGCGTGGAGGAGAACCTGCATTGCTTGGAGGGCAAAACTGCCGGACCACTGACCCTGTTGTTACTGGTCAGAGCCAAGTAAGCAGCCAGTGAGGACTCTATAGGGGGCAGACTCACCAGACCCAGCTTCTCGGCACTGTCAAGATCCACAAACTGTCCATAGCCTGGCACTGCGGTGAAGGTGGACAGTGGCTTAGCCCAGAATGATGTTAGTTTGGTCACAAAGTCTGGGTAAGGCTATAGCAAGTTCTTTTACATCAGCCGGTTTGGTGGCGAGGAAAAAAAGCAGCAAAGTAGGACTTCTTGTCTGTCGGTGGAGGAGCAGGCCAGTCCACTTCCAGCTTATCCAGTGCTCATCTTCAGAGTGGCTGGATAGACGCGTCCTCCCGAAGGTCAGGAGTTGAAGCAGCAGTAGAGAGCTTCCTTGTCATACAGGAGGTCGTGACCATTGACGCAAATGTCCAGCACATCCTCCTCAGGAGGGAGACACTGGGAAGCTTCCAGGTCAGACATGGGTAGTCTGTCTGCCACCTCCATTTGATCTGTCCAGCTAGAAGTGGGGACTTTGATCATGAGACCATCCCTGTCAGAAGTGGGCGAAGTCGGTTCAGCCGACTCTGAGAACATGGGTTCTTGCTGCACAACCATAGCTTCACCCAGGAGGCTCTGGAAGAATTTCACATGCTGTTCGAGCTTGGAACGGCGGAGCCTGCCACAGAACTCGCAAGCCTCCAAAAGTGATCTCCTAGCATGCAGGAATCCCAGGCAGGAAGCACAGGTTTTGTGCAGATCCGACTCATGGAGAGAGAACTCGCAGCCCTGAGGACAGGGACGCAAAGCAGGCTTTTGCTTACCTGGTTCCGACACAGTGTTCATGGTGAGACACAGAGCGGGGTACAGGAAGCGAAAAGTGAAGCACAAAGCAA